ATTATTAAATTTAAATTTCAATTGTATATTTTTAAAGGGTGTTTAACAGTCGGTTCGCTCAAACTGGATAGTTCGAAATGCAAACAACTTGAAAGCTGAACACAAAAAGTGTTGAAAAGGAGACGCAAAACAAAAAGAACTGCACTAATAGCAAATGCAAGCAGCGCCACCTAGCGACCATAAGATAAATAACAAATCTATACTCAAGCACACATAGTATGCACACATAAATACATACATACATACATCTACGTAGAAAGATATGCACATGCATGCATACATGTATACATACATACATATGTACACTTGGGCATGTTCACATTGCGCTCTATCAGTGGGTGCTGCCTTTGGGTTGCCTTTTCGGTTAGTGTTGGTCTCTTCACGCCAATTTATCAGTTGACCTACAGAGCTGCAGCAGCAGCGCAGCACTGACGTCGCGACGTTGCGTCGCGTTGGCAGCGGCGTCGCATTCGTTGCATTTGTTGTTGTATTTGTGCCAGTTAAATGTGCGCTGGCCGCTCAAGTTGACAGCGATAAAGTTGCGCCCAGGCCCTCTAGGCAACGTCTGCAGCGCCCTCGTCCCGGCCTTCCAATTCCCCCCACAACCAACCCGACCAGCCAACCAAACCACTAGCTCTCTCACACACTTTTCGCTCATTTCGCCATAAGGCGAATTTAGTGCAAAGCATCAGCTTTGCATCCTGTTGCCGATAAATATGAAGAGAGCCAGTTGCACAAGCGCGCTGCGCGATAAACATTTTGCTGCGGCGACGTCGACAGAGCCACTCGACCAAAGCCACCCACGACACGACGACACGCATCGCAAAGAAGTGGTACGAATCGCACTATATTCGCCAATATACTCTGGATACTCTGCAAGCATCGCTCGCTACATTTAATCTGTCGCAATATTCTCTATTCTCTTAATTTTCTTAAATACATTCTTTAGTTTCAGCTTTGGCATTTATACTTCAATAAATATATAACTTTCGTAAAATATATATAAAATATATCAATTTCGCCATCTGCGGAAGTTTATTAAGCAAAAGAAGTTCTCACATAAATATTTAGCCGGCTTTTTACGCATATTGCGCCATGGTACATCGCATATATATGTATTTGGGTGTGTGTAAGTGCGCGCTTATGCTAGCGCTTCGTTTGTCTTCGGGCTCGTGCGCTCGTGTCGGCCGTGTCGCACGTTTCTTCTACGGTGCAGCGGCGTCCGCGTCATAGTTCTTCCACTTTAACATTCGGTTGCGCGCCGTTGTACGAGACGGTCGCACAATTTTCGGTGCGTTTGCCTTAGCGGACCTCAGCGACGGCGAAATCGAGTGCGATTCGCCTGGCCGCCAGGCTGTCTCTTAATTGTTATTCTTGTTCTTCATACACGTTCCGTGCCCGTTGTGCAAATGCAATTTTTTGACAATAAATCACTTTTTTTTAGAGTGCTCAAACCAAGTGTTAAGAAAAATAAAATTTTTTCTAGTGCTACGAAGGATAACGTACAACACACGCGCGCGCCCCTTCGCATGATCGCTAAACATTTTGTGACTATTGGCTCATTTTTCACTCATATCTAAGCATTGCATTTTTTTTTTTTTTTTTTTTTTTTTTTTTTTCCCCCCCCAAAACAAAAAAAAAAAAAAAAAAAAAAAAAAAAAAAAAAAAAAAAAAAAAAAAAAAAAAAAAAAACAAAAAACTTAAACGTACAAAGTGTGAAACTATGAACAAACCGAACAAATTAAATTAAACACAAAAAGTGGCTGAACAAAAAAATTTTAATTATTAACGTCGCGCGCGATATTCAAAAGGCAAAAAAAAAAAAAAAAACTTCGGCCAGATCAATGAAAAGTCAAAAAAGTAGAAAATGAAGAAGCGAAATAACAGCGAGTGAACAAAATTTCAGTATTCGAGCTCTGTTGGAATTTCGATTTTCGGGACAGCTTCTGCTAAGCCCTGCTTCATAATTTTATCCCATATTCCTCGTCTTCTTTAACTGTTTTTTTTTTGCTCTGCGTTTTCTGGCGAATTCGCGTTTTGATTTCAGTCTTTTTTTTGTTGTTGCACTTTTTGCTTTGGCGGGTGCAGCTCTCGGTTTCATACATGAAACTCCCGTTTTTTGTCAGACGTTTTTTTCTTGCATTTTAATTTTTTGTTTTCCTGCTGATGCAGCAGATAAATTAATTCGCCTGTTCCTGAGCAAACAATTGCTGAAAATTCGTTTTTCTCTCTTGCAGTGCCATAAACATCGTAACTTTTTTTCATTTATTTACAACGTCTAAACGCATCAGACGCAACACCTCGAATACGAACCCTGCAACTGCCCAATACAATTAAATAGTTCAAACCAACAACAAAATAACCGAATAGCTGCCAGATATCCCGTACACGCACACACGCGTGCGCGCACACAAACACACAAACGATATGGGATCAACGGGATCCCAAACGGCCGCGACGTTGCGGCAGCGACACGCGCTGTCGCTGCTCTGGCGCCTCTTCGCCGTTGTCCTCGTTCTGAACGCCTGCCATGTACCGCTGCTGAATGCCAAGGTGAGTAGCAAAGAGAGTGAGAAGAGAGTGCAAGAGAGTGAACTCATCTGAGCTAAGCGGTTAACCAATTTAATTGCTTACTTCATGCAATCCTTAGCATGAGCCCAAATGCACAGAGCTTAACAGAGTTCTGCTAAACATTTAACATAACATGATCAAACAATTTTAACAGTTGCTAGGCCACACGGCAACTGCATCAGTGAACAGAAAAACATAAAGAAAACTTGTTATTTGATATATGTTAACAGCATCAATTATCCTGTGAGCTAAATCATGTTCAATTTTAACAGAGGCGCTGGAGTTACTACAAACTGTTATAGTATATTATCTATAATATATGATATCTCGAAAATTTTAATTTCTAATTAAGAGCTCTGTAATTCTCAAAGAACACATTTGAAGTTTTGATATATGGGTATAGAATTTGAATTGAAGATAGCTCTATTTTTGTCTTATTATAAAATTGTTTCTTCTCGAGACATGTAAATGTGCAATAGCTATAGAAACACTTTGATTTCGTGAGACAATCTTATATTAATGGCATTCCTTTAGCCATGGTGACAACATCTGGCCAACTCATGAATATGATTTCTAGAGAATATATATATGTGTATGTCTAGAAGCATCAAGAATCTTTCTCACATTTCTGTTCAGCATCCTCACAGATTCAAATACGTATATGTAGAGAGCTCGCATGATCTAGTTTTCTTAATGTATATGACACAACACGAAACGAACAACAACAACGAACTTGAACTATTTTACAACGCAGATACATAAATATTAAACAAAAAGCGAAAAGAGCAACACAAATAAAAAATAAATAAAAATAATGTGTAAAGAGGGCCCCCAAGTGGGGAAACATACAGATACATATGTATACACACACATACATATACATATGTAGATATACATATATAAATATATTTATTTTTGTAAACCTTTTGCTGTTTGACCTTTGCTCGCTTGTAACAAATTAATAAAAAACCAATGAAAATGAGATCCATTAAAAAGTCGAAAGAAGCAGCACGCACCGCTTATCAGCAAGTGAGTGTGCGAGAGAGGGAGCGGGAGAGGGAGTAAGAGCTAGTGGCTCATTATGGTTCCACAAGCTGCTTCATAGAACCGCATTGTGGCTACCCTAGCGTACAAAGATCTTTTGAACTGACACCGGATTTCGATTGCGACAATTTTGGATTATGAATTTTTTGTTTTAAATTAATTAATTTAAAAAATGACAAAAAAAAAAAAGATGAAAGACAAAAATATTAAGAAGAATTATTTCGTCTGTCAGGCGAAGTGCTTGGGTCAAGTGTTATTCGGGGCTATCAAATCGAAAACAGAATAAAATTCAAATTTATTTCAAAAGAATTTATTTTCGTTGCTAATTTCGATTTCACAAATGTGATATTTTAATCTGTTTTTTTTTTTTCCCTTAGAATAAAATATTTGTTTTGCCAATTATAAAAGGCGTTCGATTGTCATCTAATTTCTCTATCGGTGGCCGTTTGTGTGCATGTGCGTGTGTGTGAGTGTGAGTGTGAGTGGCCATCATAATGAGCTGATAGCTAATGGCTGATAGCCGTCTTATCAGAGTGTTAATGACATGTAGTCGAAGAAGTCAACGTTGTCGTCGTCTCGCAATGAAATAATTTCTTAAATTAACATTTCAAAAAAATAAGAAGAAGACGAAGAAATGTGAAAAAAGACGAATTGTGGGGGGAGTAAAGCATAACTCCAATAGCTGTAACTGAGGGCTTATCGGTTCTGCAAAAGGAAAAACAAATGTAGAAGAAGCAGAGCAAAATAAGAGCAGGCCATCGAATGGGAACAGCAACAAAGAGTTATGAGAGAGATGTACATGTATATAATTCATATATATATATAATCATATGTATATGCATGTCGTTACATCCGGCGTATGCGTAATATGTTTACAGAATACGCATACGCACAGGTTGAAGCTAAGTGAATAGTTTAACAGCTGTAGCTCAACAGCCATACGCTTACATTACATGAACTGCTTAACAGTGTGAAGGATGAGCTAACAGCTTAACAGACGCGAGCTTAACAGTCTGACAGTTGAGTTTCTGACTCTTAACAGACTACACTGTTATATTACATGAACTGTATGCGAGCTTAACAGCATTGTAGCTTAGTTTTGGTGCCAAGACTCTGACTCTACCTATAATATATCTATATGTGGATTATTGCATTTACTTGGCAACAGGTGTCGTGCGTGAAATGATCAGCTTGAACGCTAGATGTCGCTTGAAGGCATCGCTATGCAGGCGACCAATCCAATTAACAATCGTTAGTTAAAGCAAAGAAATGTTGCAGCTGGCGCCGGCAGCATTTAGCCGCGCACTGCTAATCACAGTCATGGGATACAAATGTATCTACAAGTCAGCGAGAGCATCTAGCTGGGCATCTGCTGTAGATACGCGGACATGTGTATGCACATAGATATATATGTTATATATATATGTCGACTGACAGATGTGGCCTGCATGTCATCAGGTTTCGTGCCTGTCCATCCGTCCGTCCGTCCATCTCGCTGTCTGCCTGTCAAAATATTTGCAACGACAGCAAACAGTTGCCACAAAACTTGCAGGCTAGAGCTTGCTTTCATTTTGTTTCGTTTCATTCGTTTTGGGTTTTTGTTTTATGTTTTTATACACAGAATTTTGTACTCTTTGTATTTGGTTTTTGCGCTGAGCAAATCAATTCTTGAGATACATTTCATTTGGCTGCTTTCTTTCGCATGTTGTAGGCTCTCGCCGTAGTTGTAGCTGCTGTCTCAATTGTTTGTTTTCACAACATATGGGCGCAAGATGTTGCCACACAGCGCAGCCCATGTGTTGCCACATATATCGGCATATATGTAGATATATATCTGTTTGGCATGTGCGATCTCTTGCAATTTTCTATGGAATCCAGCAGCTCCTGGCAACTGTTGCTGTTGCTGTTCGTGTCTCGATCCCAGCGGCAACAGTTGCTACTGCTGTCATTTGCCCAAACGTACGACACTTGAGCTCAAGTTCAACAGCAAAAGCGGCAGCAGCAGCAACAATTGGCGCATGCATTAAATTTAAGCAAATAACTAAACCTAATACACAGTCGACCACCCGCCGCTCCCCTTGCCCATCCGCCTCAGATAGCCGTAGATAGCGTAAAGTGTGTTGGCTTTGGCAATTGACAGCGGTTGGCGCTTCCGCCTTGCGTGCATTACATTTGAGAGCTGTGAGGGCGAGACAAGTGGAGCGGGAGGAGTGAAGTGAAGTGAATAGTGAGAAGTAAGGMGAGGGAAGTGAGGAGAAAGAACAGATCAGCTAGGTGAGAAGAGCAAAATGACCAGAGGGATGAAAGGTGGGAGAAGCGAAGAAAAACAAAGAGAAGAGAGAAGCAGAGTGAGAGAGTGAAAGTTAGAGAGAAAGAGAGAGAAGCAGACTAAGAGAGAGAGATAAAGAAGGAGAGAGATAAAGTGACAGAGATAGAGAAAGAAAGAGAGAGATAGAGAGAAAGGCAGAGAGATGTAAGCATAGAGAGAGAGAGAGAGAGAGAGAGAGAGAGAGAGAGAGAGAGAGAGAGAGAGAGAGAGAGAGAGAGAGAGAGAGAGAG